GAAGACTGAAGGTGGTTGCTATAGTGATTTAGGGTGGTAAATGACTAAACTATTGCAGGGTTGATAGGATGTTCATAGTGTTCATAGCCATCTCAAAGGTGGGTCTAACTTTTCCTGATGATTTTTCTCTAAAAAATCTTGCCATTTTCATCCCCAGATATTATGTGAGATACAAGATTGGTGAAAGTACCATCTTAAAGGTAAGGCAGCTACATAGCTTGAAAAAAAATGGTTGATACATTAAAATCTTTGTGTTTGCATAAAAAAAAACTTGCTTATTCATATGAAATCAAAAGGCCATGATTTTGAATAGTTGAATAGTTATCTGTACTAGTAGAGAGACAGTTAATCAACATCTCTCTCCTTTGTGTACTGTCACTTTAAGATGAGGGAGAACCGTACATCAGTGTTTGACACCACCACCGCCTGGCGTAGTGACTCTTACTATGCAATGGGGATTCTGGGATTTGGCGTGTATCTCCTGTTGGGAATAACCTCTCTACCCTCTGTCAGCAATGCTCTCAGCTGGAGAGAGTTCAACTTCATACAGGTGGGAACTGGCATGTGTGTCTGAATCATATGATATGTTGGTGTCTGGATGTCTGAACTTTAGTGTGTAACACACTTTCACAGTGACACTTTATGGACACAGAACTCTACTTTAGCTGTGCATGAGCATTTGGCTGAATCCCTGCATCCTGTTTACATGGTGAAACATTGGTGGCCACAACTGGAGGAATGAGACTGTGGAATTTTTTATAACAGTTTCCCAGGCAATCTGTCCAACAGATTTTCCCTCAGCACATGTTGGTGTCTGTGCTTGTGTGTGTAGAGATGGATTTGAGAAGTTGCCATTTCCTTTTTTCATGTTCAGCCAATCAGAAGAAAGTGGGCTTTTAAAGAGGCCTCTTAAGGAGGCCTGAGCTAATATTACGTGTTTCTCAAATGAGGGGCTGCATAACACACCGTTTTGAATAAATATTGACTTTTTTGAGCCCTGAATCATACAAAGCTTCTCTTGTGGAGTCCCAGAAAGAATAATATAGAGCTGGAAATGAGTATAACAGGTCTGCTTCAGCCACAAAAGTAAACTGAATGTCAAACAAGCGCATTTCCAGTCATTTTAGTACCATTTCTATGATATTTCATGGAGAAATGAATACAAACAAACTCATTGGGAAATTTAATTTGAGACAGTTGATTATCTCACCTCTTCACTGTGGCCTTGAAAAGCTGCAAATGACAACCATTGATTGATGATTCAGTTAACACAGAGACACATGCTCACAATATTAAATAGGTTCACTTGGTATCCAGTTACAATGTGCCTGCTGGTGATATTTTAAAGTGTGTTATGAAATTTGAAATAGTGTACTTCCGCTATTGCACATGTTTATGCTCTAGGCTGCTGAGGCTCAGTTAGTGTGGAAAGTTACAGAGAGGCTGCTGGACCTTTAAGGAGTGTGGATACTGGCAGAAAAACTGTTTTCTGTGATTTTCACATCATGTCCATTAGCCAAAACTCAACCTATGACAGATGAGGATGATTCTGTGCTCCAGCCTAGATGGAATGTAGTCACATGGGCCTGATTGCTGTTCCCAACTCCCTATTGGAGGTAATCTGCTGAAAGTGTGTTAGTGATATCTCATTCCCTTGCTAAATCTTCCACTGTGATTGTTTTCACTGAGCAGACTCAAATGTTTACCTTTTTTCACACTTTGACCAATCAAAAATGAAATCGGACTCACCACAGGGAACAAACTCATTCATAAATGTAACTGGGTCATGTCAACCTCATTTTCTCATTCCACACCCCTCCCCTTTACTCCAGCCCAAATTAGAGCAGTGCTTTAAATGTTAAGTTATTCATCAAATGTAGTTTGAGGGGCATACATTATCCTTGGCCACAGTCTTTAGGTTTTGTTCATGTGTATGGAGTGGATCTATGGGTCAGTGAATGTGTAAGTCTGTATGTTTGTGTATGTGTAAGCACATTCTCTATCTACTGTAGCTGAATTGTCTCTATCTATGCACACAAGGTAGATGAGTGTGTTGGAGTATGTGTACGTGTGTAGGTCAAAAGCTTCTCTTTAAAGGCCATTCTATCACATTTCATCTTACTGAGCCTTTCACATAATAATAATGTGTTTTCAGTGAAAGTGAAACTATGTGAATCTGTGAATGCACAAACACTGAGTATAAAGTTATATTTCTTAACTAATTCTTCTCCCTTCCAGTCGAAGCTGGGCTACCTCACATTGTTCCTCTGTACCTTTCACACCTACCTGTACGGCTGGAGCATGTTCCTTTATCCCTCTTCCTACAAATGGTACACTCCTCCGGCCTACATGCTCAGTCTGGTGTTGCCTTCTGTAGTGATGTTGCTCAAGCTGCTGCTCCTCCTGCCCTGCGTGGACCGCACCCTCACCCGCATTCGACAGGGCTGGGAGAGGACTGATCCAGAGGATGTCAGCAAGAAGTTGCTGCTAACATAGGGCTATTACAATTACAGAAACAAAAACATTGGTATTCACAGAAAACAGACTCAAAGACAATCCTTGAGATTTATAAGCTCCATCATCTGGTAACCTCACCTCCTTGTTTCGGATGCCTTCGGTCCAAGACTATAGGCTACAGTTGTTCTGCTCTCCACTGTAAACATATTCCACAGAGAAAAGTCATTCAGTCACTTTATGTAATCATGTTGGAATTGTTCCATTTTGTAAACATAGCATATAATACAACAGCACTGTATAGGTTTTCTTGAGTTACACAAATACCCTGGACCTGCATTGAGAATCATAAATGCATGTTAAAACTGCTATGCTGCATTTCCGGCAGCTGCCCTTCTCTCTTGTAAGCTCATGTCTTTTTCTCCACTAGAGTTTCATAATTGCACTATACACATGTACAGTCAGTACTGTTACAGACTCTGACTCAGAGAGAGCCGACTTTGTTGTATTTCCTTTAACATCAGCAGCGACCATTTGACTGATTTGTATATCTTTGACTTTCTCAAAAACCTTGAGCTACTGTATATGGTGGCTATTGTTTATTGGACAAACTTCATATATTTTTCTGCTACTTTGTGTTCTCACTAAAGTGTTACCACTGTAAAATGCTATTCAAAGTAAACTTCATTTTGACTGAACAGCATTGTCTTGTCTCTCTTTCTCCATGCCATTTATATATATATCTCATCCTGTCTGGAAGCTCAGTCAAACTCAGAGTTTTTCCCTGCTGAGTTGAGTGTGCTCTGTCTAGTCGTCTCGGTCTGATCCCTCTCCAGGGTTCATCCCCCCGGCTGATCTGATGCCGTTCTCCAGGAAACATTCGCTCTGAGCTGTGGGCTTCTCCCCCAGTCACTACTGGGTCTCATCACATCAGTGGATAGAGGAGCATGCAGACTCCTCCATCACAGAAGTCCTCTGCAGAGAGGATGAAATATTCGGTTGTGACAGTACAGATAGGCCCCTGATGTTGCGCTGCAGCAAGTCATTTTTGAAGATCATGAAGGGAGTGAAGAAAGCATAGAACTCAGATAAGTGTTAGTTGTTAGCGACACATGATCAAGCATTAATCTATAAACATTGACAAGGAGGCACACACATACGCAGTAGGTTGTCACATGCATGGATGCATTCAAAACACAGGGCACACAGACACACCTGTAGGCAAGGAAGGAGGAAGGAAGATGAGTTTCACAGTCAACTGAAATATTAATAATCTGAAGAACGATTGTGCTACATTTGGTAAATCAGACTACTAGCTGCTGAATTGTGAAACCTTGTATGATTCCTTGTATGGAATCGTACAGTGTTATGACAAGTCTTATAGGTTAGGATTGTGTGTATAGATTTGTGGTAAGAAATGATGTCAGACATAAGGTTAATGATGTGCGACCATATAGCATAATGTATATGCTACTTTAATGTGAAGCCTCATTTTGCTTTTATCATGACTAAAAATTAATTTGTTTTCTTTTAGGACATACATTTGCTGAGCGCAACACAACTAAAAACAGAGGGCAGGGATTATTTGCAGAAGAAAATGATCTACGTGTTAACCTGTGCAAAATCAAAAGATAGTGGACAAAACAATAAGCAAACTAAAGAGCTAAGTGCAATATCAAAAATAGTTTTGTTAACAATATTTTCTCTCTTTCTTTGGGACTTGTGATCGACTGGTCTTTAGTAAACTTCCTCACAGCTTCAAAGTATTTTTTTTTCATTAATCATGAATGACGGGTTGGCCAGATGGGGAGCAGTGCTTACATGTATGCCATTCAGATATCAAGAATCAATAGTTTCTGTATGTTCCTACAAGACCTTTCAACAAAAATAGTTCCAACAAGAGATTTCTATCTTCAGTTTACAGACCAGAATTCCATGATGTAAAATCATCTTCCTCAAAATATCTTTTTGCAATGCATATATTGACTAATTACTTTATTTTTGTAACCACTGTATGATTGATTCATTGATTTTATAATTAACATAAACATTTGTCTCAGATATCTCTCTCTCTCTCTCTCTCTCTCTCTCTCTCTCTCTCCCTCTCCCTCTCCCTCTCTCTCTCCCTCTCCCTCTCCCTCTCTTCTTTTTAAAGATCTGTGAGGTAAAATGTCAAAATTGAACCAACACAAGTCATGTAAAACTTACTGTATCATGGAAGAATTTCAGTGCCATAACAGTGTGTGTTAAATGTTTAAAATAAAACAAAGGATCCACTTTGCTGCAGTGGTGCATAATGTATTAAGTGTAAGTTCAGTACACCCTGACATTATTATTGCAGAAGGTCTGGTTACTGTAGTAGCACAGTATACTTGAGTATAACTTTAAATCAGCAATTTTAGGCCAAAATGAGAACTAAAATTGCAGTTAACCACGTGCATTTGACTATTTCAACATGAGGATGATTCTGTTGATTCAACAGAAAGCACTGTGTGTGGCATAACACTTTTTTATGTTACAGAAAGCTGAAGCCAAAAAAATAGAAGTGGATAAAGGAAGGAAACACAAAATCACACAGACAGAAATGGGGAAGCAGTGTGTCCAAAACTCAACCCTAATGCACTGCCGTGCACACAGTCCTCACACAGATTTCAAGGTAAGTTCTACACATGCAAAATGCATTAAAGTAATTGTATCATCTGTGAACTATTTTTAATTTTTTTTATGCTTTCCTCTATTGTAGAATTTCAAGGCAAATAAGAGTAAATTATGAGTAGCAACTCAAAAGTGGTAGATTTACTGGATCAAATCTAAATGTTTTCCTGGCGTCTTTTGTCTTAACATCAGATGCTGTTTTTACTTGCACTGCTGGTGCTGACAGGATGTGCCGCAAGTCCTCAAGGTAAAAAAAAAAAAAATCTTCAAATTACATCTGAGACAGTTATAGAAAATTTGTTGCCTTTTGATATTTTTTTTATTTTTTTGACTTCACTCACATGTTGTGCAATACTCTCTGAAGAGAAAATTCTCAATGTTAATGATGTTTTGAAATGTGCACTGTATTAATAGCAGACATTTAATTTGGAAAAGTATGTATCTAATATAATAATATATATTATATATATATATTTTTTTTGTTTTTTTTTTTTTTTGTTTACTTAAATTACCTATTTACAATCACCAATTAGAAAAGAAAATTACCAATTCATGACTAACCATGACTGTTTGGTTCATGGACAGATATTGTGTGACTTGGCAAAACACTGGTTCTCATTCCACTGTCAACCAAGAATAAATTCCACTATTTGCAATAAACCTGACCTGTGCAAAATCGGACAAACCAATAAGCAAACCAAAAAGCTAAATGGAGAATCAAAAAGGCATATCTTAACAATAAAGAGTGGCTATCATTTTCATAAGATTTGTAGTCGACATCGTAGCAAGTATTTCCTTCCTCAAAGCTTCAAGTTTTTTCAGCAGTTCTTACATGTGTGCCAAAAGACGTATGTATGTATGTTCCCAGTTTCCTTTGACAGTGAAGGACTTTCACTCCAAATATAGAGCAAATTCATAATCTTAATCAAAACAAAAACTATAAATAGATAGTAAAAACATATTTCTCTCTCATTTTAGATCTGTCAGGTAAAATGTTCACCTTCCCACAAGAAACCAACACGGCTTGTGTGAAGCTGAATACATCACAACAGACTTTCAGTGCTGTAACCGTCTGTCACAGGTAATGTTGAATGTGCAAATGCATAAACAAAAGTGTATCTCTTAATTTTGAAAGGTATGATGCATAATAATGTTTTTATAATGCCTACAGGTCCTTTACAGACCTCAAAAGAGACCATGTCCTTTTCTCTTTGGCCACACCCGCCTCTGCCAATGACTACCTGATTTTTTGGGATGAAACAAATAAGGAGATGGAGCCGCATATCAAGGATAGAAAGACAGAATATGGAAGACAGGACTACAAGCCGAACACATGGCACTCTATTTGCTCGACATGGGACTCTGATTCTGGACTGGTGCAGCTGTGGATTGATGGACAGCCTTCGATTAGGAAATTCATCAGCTCTGGATCCAGCATCAGAGGATCTACTATAATTATTCTAGGACAGGTGCAGTTTTATTGATAAGCATCATTGTTAATAGTCTTTCAACAAATGATTTATATGCTAAGGTGGTTTATTGTGTGTCTCTTGTGTATAGATATCAGAACAATGCTGCTTGAATTTACTGTCTTCCAAACCTCTGCACTCTCTACAGGAGCAGGATTCCCATGGTGGGGGCTTTAACGTTAAGCAGTCTTTCGTTGGCATGATGTCTGATGTCCACATGTGGGACTACGTCCTTTCCCCCTGTGAGATCCATAACTACGTTGATGAACACAACTTCACTCCAGGGAATGTGCTCAATTGGAGTGCACTGAACCTCCAGATTATAGGCAGAGTACTGCTAGAGGAGAAAGTGATGACATGTCACTGAATGTAGAATGTAGAATAGAAAGTATAAATGACCGATGTCAGAAGTCTATGTTACATGATTATTTAGTAAGGGAGAGGTTCTGATTTTTTCAACTCTATCATAATACAATAATCACATGAAAGTATGTTATGCTTTTCAATAAATACGTTCCAGGAAGGTGTCACCTCACAGCCAGTATTGAGGGAAGGAAGGATTATGTTTACTGTCTCAGCATACATGTAAATTCGAACGTCTCAAGTGAAAAGGGTGTTGTAAAAGCAGATTAAAAACTGAATTTATTTTGTCGCTGAACACAAAAATGTTCAGCCACAGGAAGGCACTCAGAATGGCAGACTGGCAACAGCACAAAAAAAGTGAAAAGTTATAATTAGCTGACTCGCTTGTATCAACACTATTAAGAAAATCCTTTAGTTTAATGCAAAGATTTTTTTTCTTTAAGTGATTATCTTAGATGACTTATGACTGGCTGGATTGTAGCTTTAAAATAAAAACGAGACAGCTATGACGTAGTTAGCTATCGTATCATTTCCTGATCTGTTTTCATTTCTTGGTCAATAAATAAAAATCTTAATTGGCCAAGAGAAAAATAAAAACAATGAATCAAATGACATGTGACGTGGAACGACTCACTGGTTGTGATTGTCCCTCAACAGATTTTCCATCTGTATGTCTACTAAGATATTTATCCTGACTAACACATAGTCTTGGTTTTGTCCATGTATGGTTCAGTCTTACCGCCCAGATGCTTTCTGCAGACTAAAAGTAAAAGGTTGTAATGTTGCCCCATGACTCCTCGATGTGTAAGTAGATTCTTTGGGGGTTTTTTTATTTTATTTTATTTCTTTTACATGTTAGCCATAACAACTTTATACTGTGGATCATTCTACTTATTTTGAATGTCCGCTGACCCCTACTGGCCAAATATTGATAAATGCATCTTTAACTTAGTTTTGATATACACATGAACTCATCTGATCTTGGCCTGGTATTCTTGAAATAAACATCATCAACTTCATTGAACTGGACAGCACAACTTTGTGCTTACTCTCCTGTATGTGAATGGGGCTATACTTGGCAGAGGGCTTAAGTTTCTCCATGTTTCATCACTTCTCCCAGTTCTTTGATAATAAATCACACACACTCCCACATGGACTTTCGATTGTTCATGCAAGTCATTCTGTGCTGACAGATGCTGCTAGTCTCTCACTCAGTAAAATGACTACTCTCTCCTATGGATCCATTCTTCATAATGAGATGGACTACACCAGTCTCTAAGGCTAGTGATGAACCAAGCCATGTTTGTGTTACCCTTTTCTCCAAACTTATTGGATGAATCAAACATGAACTTTATCTTCATAACAACAATTGACTAAATTACCAATTTTGTCCATATAGCATCCTTCTGTTATGCGTGTCACTCATTTAATTAATTTGTAAATTACAATACAGAAAAAATCCTAACTATCTATTAAGAAAATTTCTTGGTCAATTTACAGCCTTGTGTTGAGCAACAGTCAGGAAAAGTAAACAAGTCCAAGGTGCAGAGGCAGAGGCAAACCAGTTCTCTGATAATAAATCACACAACCTCCACGTGGTGTTTTGATTGTGTGATTGCGCTGCAGATACTGCTGGTCTCTCAATCAGTAAAACTACTAGATCATAATGAGAAGGACTACACTGCTCTCTAAGGCTGAAGATTAACAAAGCCATGTTTGTATAATAAATTACCCTACGTTTTGTCTCTGAAGAAGCTACCAGCTCATGAAGGTCCAGAAGTAAAAACCCAATGCTTTTTGAGAGGGTAAAGCTCATGAGGAGACACTGATGTCCAGTGATTCTAGGTGTTTTAAAGCTCTAAAACCTTCTGGTAAGGACTTGTAACATTTGCTCAGACTATGGCACTGGTGATGCTGCAGGATACTTCCACAATAAATTAGGCTGTCCAATAGCAGTTATAGCAGCAACACTACACACCTGATATTCCCGTTGAGAACTTAAAAGAGCGTCTTGTGTAGATTCCTGATGTAATGCAGGGCAACAAGAGTTTGAAATTAATTAGCTGATTCCTCTTCGGTGTGACGCGCAATACGTTGTCATATTCATGGATGCATTCAAAACACAGGGCACACAGACACAAACACACACACCTGTGGGTAAGAAAGAAGGAAGGAAAAAGAAGAGAAAAGGGAAAGGAAAAATAAGTTTCACAGGAAACTGAAATATTAATAATCTCATGAATGACTGTTCTACATTTGGTAAATAAGAGAGCAGAGAAGCAACTGCTGAATTGTGAAACCTTACAGTGGAAAGGTATATCAATACACAAACAATAATATAATGCAATTGCAGTGCAATGACTAATCTTTTAGGTTTGTAGGTTGGGGTTGTGTGTATAGATTTGGGGTAAGAAATGATGTTCCACATTAGAACAGGTTTGTCTTGTAACAATGCACTGATGTACATACAGGCATGAAGATTCTGTTTGTCATAATGTAATGTCCAATGTAAATGATATACAGTAGTCTAATCGTCTCAACAATTTACCTGAAATGTTTTCTTAGAAATTTGGTAATGTGGTATTTTATATATCCCACTATTTTACCATTAAAGCATCTTTCTGGCTCTATTCAGGTAATAATTGTTTGGAATATTACAGGGCTGAAAATCCACTGGTAGTTGTTGCTTATACCACTGGATGAAGTTCTTACTTTGCTGCAGTGATGTATAATGCATTTACTACACCCTCACATTATTGTCACAGTATGTGTGGTTACACATGAAGCACAGTATACAGTACATATGATAACTTAGTTTGCACCAGCAATTTTAGACCAACAAGAGTACTAAAATTTATCATGAATGAGTTTGGTTTGCTCTCTAATGCTCAATTGTGTGGGTTGTGAAATAATATGAATCTGCACTTGATTCCTTATGCCGGGAACACACTGCCTGTGTTGCTTGTGCGTGGCGGGTGCGTTGCTGAACTGCTGCAGCTTGCACGCATGTGTGTTCACACTGGCTGCGTGTCTGCTGCTACTGCCAGCTCTATCTCTCTACATAGCGTTTACAAGCTACTTGAGTGTTGGATTTCTATTCAGTCAAAATTGTGTACACAACTGCCTCTCCCATCCAATTCACTAGGCTAATGTGAAATGATGTTGTGCTACTTGAGCATAACTACCTTAACATTAATTAGCCCAGATAATGCCGACGTACTCATGAACAGAGAAATACAAATATACAGAAATACATATAAAGCAATCTTACAACATTTTCAAAGCACTTTATATTATATACATTTGTCCATCAACATTATTTAATACATTCATTTTACTCTCATGGTGACTACTTTCCTTCAGCTGTGTCCTGATCATCGATGACATAATCACCAGGAACGAGGCTTCTAGCCATAGCTCAAGAGCTGCAGCTCAAACTACACGACTTAAAGGGACTATTTGTAAGTTTTGCTATTACTACATAGCCAGCGTTAGCATTAACAGCTGTTTACTTAGCAGTCTTACAGCCTCATGTTCAGCAACACGTAGGCAGTCGGGATAAGTAAACAAGCCCAAGGTACAAAGGCAGGGGCAAACCAGTTCTTCTAACTATTTTATACACTGTTTCACACAACATCCTGACACAGGATTCAAGGTAAGATCAACTCATGAAACAGAGGAATTTAACCTGACTGCATTAAAAACCTTTTCTGCTTTTCTCCATGTATTGTATATTTAGATGGCGTTGTTGCTTCTACTGGTGATGTTGACGGCATGTGCTGCCATACCTCAAGGTAGAAAACGAATTTCTTTATTTAACAGAGGGAATACAAAAATGTCATCACAGTAAAGCAAGTGCACTGGGCTCACGAATCAAATATTATCTTTTGATGATTGTTAACTTTGTTTTCACTCTTTTTGATATGTACAATTTTTTTGTTTTTTTATTTAATATTATGAAATACTGTATGAGCTTTAAATTAATAGCATCAATTTTGCCTTTAGGCATACATCTATTATGTTTTTGTCATTCATTTATTCATTTATTTAATTTAAGACAGATTTAAGACAGTTTGCTTGGTCAATTTGCCACCATACACTCAGCAACAAGAGGCAGTCACAAGTAAACAAGTCCAAGATGCAAAGGCACGGGTAAAGTCCATAAACAGGCAAGGGGTAATCAAGCTATGGCAGATATCTGAGTAAGAAACAAAGGCTGGAGCATACTGAAGGCAATGAGCAGGGTGGAGTCTTCAGCTTGAATTAATTTTCTATGGGAAGTGGCAAATCCTTCACATGGAACATGATGGGGCAGGGTAGTGTAGAGGGCAAAATACAACTGTGAACTGGAAGTGTGGAAAATGGTGACACAGTATGCAATAAAATTTGACACACAGTGTGTAACTGTTTAAGAGACAGGTTTCATTTTTTATTTATTTCATATGGTTCTGTCTTACATTCATGATAATTTGAGTTCATACTGCCATTAAAAAGAATTAACAATGCAAAGATGTCTTCTGAGTAAATAAATCTGTAGAAGACATCTGTATGAAGAAGTGTGGCCATTATTCGTTGGACCAGTGTAGCTATACAGTACATTACAAATTTATTTGGAATAAATGTATTTAGCAGATTAATGTTAGCTGCACCAGTGGTGTGGCTTTATGAATGGCAGGTACACAATAAATTCTACATTTGAATATATTTTCTGCTAATATATAATTATTTGTTTATTATATTATTTACATTTCACTATCTGATTTTGAATGTCTTTCCCTTTTTAAGATCTGTCAGGTAAAATGTTAACCTTTCCACAAGAAACCAACACAGCTTACGTGAGGCTGACTACAACAAGACAGGTTTTCAGTGCTGTGACTGTCTGTCTCAGGTAGTGTTGATTACGCAAAATGACATTCTGTGTTCCTGACAATAACAAGCTTCATGCGTGATAATATCTTTGTATTGCCCACAGGTCCTTTACAGACCTCAAAAGAGACCATGCCCCATTCTCCTTGGCCACACTGTCTGCTGCCAATGACTTTTTGATTTACATGAAACCTGAAAACAATGAGTTTCATCTACATAGCAAGGACAACGAAATAAAATTAACAGGGCAGGACTACAAGCTGAACACATGGCACTCTATTTGTGCCACATGGGACTCTGTGTCTGGACTAGGGCAGCTGTGGTTAGATGGAAAACCCTCGAGTAGGAAATTCCTCAGCTCTGGATCCAACATCAGTGGACCCGTTATAATTGTTTTAGGACAGGTACGTTTTTTAAGAATCACATTTGAAGGAATGGTTTGACATTATGGGATGTACGTTGATTTTTTTCTTTTATCACTGACGTAAATGTAGCTTGACTCATCCACAAGTTAGTTTAGTTTAGCAGACAGACTGGGAACACAGGGAAACGGCTAGGCGTGGCTGCATGAGACTGGCTATCTTCTCTATTAAATAAATTCTCAGCAGCAGAGCAAACAAGTTTATTTCCCCAAAAGTCAAGCTATTCCAACAGTGCAAAAGTGCTTCAAATTGCTACTTTATGATTAAGTGTATGTCTTCAAATGATATACAGTATATCAGAAAAAATTAAGCATAACACATTATAGCTGTTATCTAAAATTTCTGCACGTTCTCAGGACCAGGATAACTATGGTGGGGGATTTGACATTAAGCAGTCTTTCGTTGGCATGATGTCTGATCTCCAAATGTGGGACTACGTCCTTTCCCCCTGTGAGATCCAGAACTACGACGATGAACACAACTTCACTCCAGGGAATGTGCTCAATTGGAGCGCACTGAACTTCCAGATTATGGGCAGAGTGCTGATAGAGGAGAAACAAAAGAGCTGCATCTTTTGAAAAAGTGTTTTGCAAAGTCAAAATATAATTGTTTTTTTTCTGTGTGTTTTTGTGTTTTGTTATTGAGATCATTGAAAAACAATGATTTCTTTTTCTTTATACTTCACCAATGAGCTTATGTCCTTATGTTGCCTAATATTAATCTGGTTAAGCGAATGTTGTTAGGTTGCCATTGCACTAAAGTTTGTGCAACTGAAACCACACACCTGTGGGTAAGAAAGAAGGAAGGAAAAAGAAGAGAAAAGGGAAAGGAAAAATAAGTTTCACAGGAAACTGAAATATTAATAATCTCATGAATGACTGTTCTACATTTGGTAAATAAGAGAGCAGAGAAGCAACTGCTGAATTGTGAAACCTTACAGTGGAAAGGTATATCAATACACAAACAATAATATAATGCAATTGCAGTGCAATGACTAATCTTTTAGGTTTGTAGGAAAGAAACTCAGATTATAATCCACACAGAAGGCGTGTGACTTCATTCTTTGCTAGGGATGCAAATAGTCCACAATATCTTCACATAGAGAAATTGTTTGCTGCTACATTATTGTTTAAAATCTTGTTTACAGGACCTTTAATCAAATTAAATGTATATGAATATGAGTTTTTAATTTGCTTGTGTTTTGCTGATTTACATATATTCTGTATGTAAGCTGCTGAGCTCTCAGCCACCGTACAGGTTAAATACTTGCTCCCTAGGGATAAAAGCTACTTGCAAAACCTATGCAGGGACTTCCACAATAAATTAGGTTATACTGATCTGTTACACTTTGTGTGCTGCATAAGAACTCAAGTCTGTTGTGTTAAGCTAGCTGGGCAACTATGAGTTTGCAATTAGTTGCCTTTTCTGCAGTCGTTGAATCTCATTATTTTAGGCTAATAGCTGTGTGTGTTTATGGAAAAGTTGGACTATGTGTTGTTGATGGGTATAACTGATTTGGTATTCTGGTTCACTTGTATTTATTTTTTGTGCCTATACCCGGTTTGACCCCCACAGTCAAATATTTAGATTTACTATAGTTCTTGGCAACATCACTAATATTCCTCTCTGATTTTGAGAGGCTTATAAGTCAAACTTCATCTGATGCAAAAAAAAAAAAAAAAGAATATTTTTGGCCTTTTTCAAAATAACAACTTCAACATTAATAGCTTCACATGAATATTTTTATAACTCAATAATTCATAACCTTCACTATATCAGTTAAACATTTTCATATGCTTGTTAAGAACTTAAACACAAACCTTTGATTTTTCTGAAACTAACTTTATTTTTTTTGATAAAGGCAGAGGATTTTGGCCAGTTGTACAACCATGTTAGTAAACCACAGTTTTCTTGGTACTATTCAACATTCAAGTGTATACTGTATTTCACAGGTGAATCCTGGATGAACTCTCAAACTCTGTATTCTTACCTGCAATTTCAGCTGTTTATTTATGTTCATATGAGTCAAGCCTTCATGGCTGGACACACATAATCTCATTAGGGGTTTCAAGGTTGTAGGTGTTTGAAATTAAATACGAGTGGAACTGAGGAATGTAAGTTAGCTGGTTTCACAGCTTTTCTGTACATTGCTACATCTTAATTTTTTCCCAGGGCAATACTTGGATACTCTATCTCATTTGTACATCAACATACACACACATGCACGCAGGCACACAGTCCAACACACTCCAACAGCAGGAAACAGGCTAAAATCAACAGCGGCTCTTTGGTAATGGGAGAATAATACATTGTGAGAGGGTGTGAGGGATTGCTGCAGATTGTGTGCGCAGATAATCTTGTTAGATGCTAGATAACAGGATGTCTCTGACTAAATGTTCTGCTTTGGGCAAAAAAGGCGCTGCATATTTCTCTCGTAGCACCAGGCGCTGTCATGGCGACAGCTGCTCCATCCTCCTCTCTTTCCCCCCTCTGCATCTTGATCATCTAATTGATTTCTGTGTTGGATGCTATACATACTAACTCTTACTGCTGTTCCACACCTGCCATTCTGCACCTGTCCACTGGTTGTCCCTGCTGAGTCAGAGTCATACTGTATGTACTCCCAGTGTGTATTTGTACTACCGTAGAACGTACAAAATCTCAAAAACCTGTCTCTCTACAGCTAAGCCTGTCACATTCCAGTATAATGAACCTGAGACACATTAATTAGTTTGATGCTTTTTGTGGAGTTATAATTAACCATATGTGTGCTTAAGTGCATTTTCTTTCTCCGTTTTAGTCCATGGTCTTATACTTACAGGTTGTTCACTTCTCCAGTATACAGTAGGTGTACTTGCTGACTCTGGCAACAATAACACACCACACATACACAGAAGCAAGGATTCTATCAATATTCATGTATTGTTCTGCCCTCTATTGTCACCAAACTTAACAGAGAAAAATTTCACTGTATCTTTTCATGTAGAAATTCTGAAACTGATATAAAAATATACTGTACAACAGACATAAAAACCCTTTTCTGACCCTTAAGTGTTACAACTGATAAATGATCTTCAAAATAAACGTGATTGAAGAGTTTTGCCTTGTTTCTCTCTCTTTCACCCTCTCTTGCCACCAACTGTATCTCTTCCTGTCTGGAAGCTCAGTCAAACTCAGAGTTTTTCCCTGCTGAGTTGAGTGTGCTCTGTCTAGTCGTCTCGGTCTGATCCCTCTCCAGGGTTCATCCCCCCGGCTGATCTGATGCCGTTCTCCAGGAAACATTCGCTCTGAGCTGTGGGCTTCTCAGTGGAGAGAGGAGCGTGCAGACTCCTCCATCACAGAAGTCCTCTGCAGAGAGAGGATAGAATATTTGGTTGTGACAGTACAGATTGGCCCCTGATGTTGTGTTTCAGCAAGTCATTTTAGCAAAGAGCATAAGAACACTGTCTGAAAACTGACAGTTGTTCATGTAAATGATCATTGTGCATGTATGCATACAAAATTCAGAGAAAAGAAAAACAGAAAGAACAATGGTACAAAACAATGGTATCTGTCCATACTATACATGAATTAACAACATTATTTAGATTTTTTATTTTTATGATTACATTTTCTAGGTTTATGTCTCTTAGCATGATCCAGATGTATATTTCAATTCAGTGTTGCAAACTAAATTAAAACACACTTTCAACAGTTTGGTAACATCTGATTCTTGTTTTTACATCAGCCTCATGTTCAGTCTTTTATGACCATTATTCTGACATGAAACCTTTGGTAACGTTCAGCACATCAATGAGAGGAAATGGTACTCTGATAACTTCGGGCCCCCTGACACAGCTAAACCAGCTTTTATGCGACACATTTTTTATAATCTCTAGCATGTTTCTGAAACCTGAAGATTCAGCTCTTGGTCCCCTAGAGGTGTCCGTGCTCATATGTGCTATAAGAGCTCTACCATGTGCATTACATCTGTTAGTATGCGAGGAAATTTTGCTTCGCTTCAGCCCTATGATTTTAGCCTGTGAAGGCAACAGCACAGCATTAGGTTTCTGCTTCAGTGTGCGGTGACTTACTCTCTGTAGAACTGTACAAATCCTGCTGGGAACACAATCTGAGGCAGTCATACTTTAAAAAACTGCATTAGGGTAGTAATTCTCCTTTATCTCCTTTATCACAGTCAAAAAACACATTTAATTTCCACTTACATGAAACTAATTCATAGAATACAAAACCAGCAGGGCTCAGAGCTCTGAGAACCTCAGCCTTAAAGAAAATCGAAATTGTAAAAATGTTTTGTTGTCAGATCAATGTAAAAATGATATTTTTATATATACTGTATATATATATAAACAAATGTCAGAATAAACATTTGTGCATTTATTTAACAGTGTAAGCTTTTGACAGTGTTCGCTTTTGGACAACAGCCATTAATCCAGCTGATGCTTTATGATTTAATGATTTGTATGAGCCCCAATGTGACTTGGGAAGATCACTGTCCTGATCTTAAGAGTAGTGGCCTGTGACCACTGTATATCTCTCCTCTTTTTATGGGCATCTTCATTCTACTTTTAATGACTCCACATCATTCTCTCTCCTAAACCTTTTTTATGTTAACATGTCTTAGTCGTCTCATTCATGAATGCTCAGTAGTACTTGTATTTTAAACAAGCAGGACCACAGACCTTAGTAACTTCTGTAGCTTAACAACTACAATTCATAGCAAGACTCAGCAATAAAGAGATAAAATACATAATGTAAATAATAAATCTAAAAAAAGTAAGTGCAGCAACTGCAAACTCTTTTTAAAAAAAAAGACCCACTTATTCTTGCAAATGCTTAAAAAGCAAATGTTGTAAAAAGGATGCTACGTCTCATTGTCCTCATACTGTGATCTTTGTCACTGCATGTGAACTCTTCACAGTGTGGAACATGCTGCTGTGAAGTTTGTGTTTGAGTCAATAAGTCGAAAAGGCTTGGTGCTCTGAGTTGAATTTTTTGGTCATTATATAACTTTATGTTGAATGAGGGAAACGCAGCGCCCACAGTCATTACACCTTTACATTCAGCAGCAGATGCGTACCAACTCTGCACGTCTGTAAAGATAAATTGTGCCTTAGCAGTCGCTGATTTGTCTGGTGGACTGAGCCAACCGGTCTTTCATTCTTTTTTTTTTTCTTTTTTTTACCAAGTTTACTCCTTTAAAAGAATTGTAACAATTGCTCTATATGGCACTAGTGGTGCTGTCAGCTACTAGCAAACCTCCAGCGACTTCCACAATAAATTAGGCTGCATGATAAGAGCTGTAGCAACTCTGTTCACCCTAAACACCTCTCTTTTGACATTCCTACTGAATCAATTAAGCATTATGTGCTCCGTGAGAACTCAGAAAAAGCCCCTTGTGGTATGCCAGCTGCTTCCTGATGTAATGGAGGGCAACTTTTACCTCAACAGACCGGGAGACTGAGAGTCTGAGCATGTTGTAAAGGTCTAATCCACCGGACAATGAGGAACACTGTCGCTTGAGATGCCATTTGCCCCTTGGTGTCTAAGGCCATGGTGCATGTACCTCATGCTGTGCTCAGTTATACAGTCTTAATGCAAACTGGAGGTGTTATAGAGTTGGGCTTTCTGATCTGTATGAAAAAACAGTATGTCAAGATTTACCATATGGGGAAAGTCTTTCATTTATTTCAGGCAACAAGACTCAGTTTTCCTTTGAACCTGCAACGTTCATAATTCAGAGTTCACAGAAGGTACAATAACTGAATTTAAAAATTAATTTGACAAAAGATTAAATCGGTTTTGGGAAGTAGCCTTTTTTCAGTGTAAGAACCTAAAAACTTTAGTGATTTTTCCTTTGTATCTAGGTTTTTTTTTATAATTGTTCACTTGTAAACAGTTTGCATGGAATGGTTTTTGCGGATGTAAATCACTATTACAAGACAAAATGCTAAGACAAAACCAAATATGATAAGCTTCTTTTGATGTTTGTTATCAGCTGTTCTTGACAGAAAAAAATATTATCAATATAATGTTTTTTTCAAAACTTATACCTACAACGTGCAGAGGAGATAAGACATTTCATACAATTCAGGAACAAGGGATGGACATAATTCACACATTTATCTATTATTATTTTTTAATTCATAAAAGCAAAAACAGATTTTCTTACAACTTTACAGCTCTTAGACAAGACAGGTCTAGTAATTTAGTTCGATGATCCTTTTGTTACAAAGCAAAATGTACAAAATCTGAAGCTATGTCCAAACTTTGGCATAGCACTGTGTAATTTGTGACAAACATTCAGACAACTATCAGTGTTGTTACATACATATCATTCAACATCCAAATGCATATTTCACAGATGAATCTCACATGAACTCTTTATTAAATTTGGTCCATGATAAGTTTCCTTACCCACAATTTCAGCTGTTTATTTATGCTCGAATGAGTCAAGCCTTCATGCCTGGACACACATAATCTTGTTACGGGTTTCAAGGTCGTAGGTGTGTGAAATTGAATATGAGGAATGTAAGTTAGCTTGTTTCACAGCTTTTCTGTACATTGCTACATCATAATTTTTTCCCAGGGCAATATTGGAATTCTCTACCTCATTTATACCTCAGCACACACGCACACACGCGCACACGCACGCACACACACACACACACACACACACACACAGCCCAACACACCCTAACAGCAGGAAACAGGCTAAAATCAACAGCGGCTCTTTGGTAATGGGAGAATAATACATTGTGAGAGGGTGTGAGGGATTGCTGCAGATTGTGTGCGCAGATAATCTTGTTAGATGCTAGATAACAGGATGTCTCTGACTAAATGTTCTGCTTTGGGCAAAAAAGGCGCTGCATATTTCTTTTGGAGCACCAGACTGTCACGGCGACAGCTGCTCCATCCTCCTCTCTTCCCTTTTCTGCCTGTGGATCATCGTAGTGTTGTACGTACTCGACTCTAAGTTTTTCCACACCTGCCATTCTGCACCTGCCCACCAGCTGTCGGTATTGAGTTTCCTGCCTCTTATCAAGTTACCTGCGTACCCAGCTGCTACTGATCTGTTATCAGTGTACACAGAGGCCACCTCTTCAGTCTTTGCCAAACTGTCTATCTTGCCTTAGTTATACAAGTTATACATTCTGTCTGCCTCCGTGTACATCCTCTGATGACTATTATCTACTTGCTTTAGGCTTCTGAATTAGTTTCTGACTGTAACCCTGTTTTAAATCTAGTTAAGACAGTTTTTTTTTTTATCACACTTGTTCTGCCTCCAGAGTCTGCTTTTGGCTACACAATGTGTTATCCACTGTTACACACTCTGGTTTTGGCACTTGTACGTGCGCATCTGTGTGTGCACATGTGTGTTGACTCTGCACGTGATAATATAATTAGCTTAACCTTACTCTCCTTTTTGTTGTGTATGTGCATATGTAACTGTGTGTGTTTGTAAGTGTACATGTATCCATGCCCTTGAGAGGGAGGCAGGTTTGGGCAGCAAGGTATTTTGTGTTAGAAAACAGGGGGATCAATAACATCCTCCATAGAGAGCAACCTCAGGGATACAATCGCACCACTTGAAGGGAGAGGAGAGAGGGGAAACGGAAACTATTGCCTATGTTTATCAAAACAATGGATTTCAGCAGGGGATATCAATCTTTTTTTCACCACATTCTGTGAAAAGGATACAGCACAAATATGAAATCTGTTTTGTTTTCAATAGCTCAAATGAAATAGACATTAAAAACATTTATATCCATGGAGACGCGTCCATTTGGCTGAAATAAACTATCCTTGTTTTTTTCTTCTTTTGTTTGGCTATTGCACAGTTGAGAGTAAGCAGCGCAGTTGTTAATCTTTTTGCCTACTTTATGGCTATTTACAAATTACTAATATTTTCCATTTTAGCCTCATCTCTATTCTTAAGATGTATACTTATGTACATTTTAAATTTTTTGTCCCTCTTGAAATAATGAACGAATGAGCCCCTCAGTAATCAGCAAACCTGATAACTACAGACTTCAGAGTTCACAGGTTGGTGACCTTGCTCTCACCCATCTCCTCCCTCGGGTGGGTCCTCTCCCAGCCCTGTCGAATGCGGGTGAGGGTGCGGTCCACGCAGGGAAGGAGGAGCAGCGCCTTGAGCACCAAGACCACAGACGGCACAATCAGACAGAGCATGAACGCTGGAGGAGTGTACCATTTGTAGGTAGAGGGTTTAAGAAATTTGTTCCAGCCGTAAATGTAGCCGTGAGCAGTGCATATGGACAGGGTCAGGTGGCCCAGCTTGGACTGAGAAAAACAAAACACATAGAACGGAAACATTAACAGAATAGTGTCACATTTTAGAAAATAAGATAGCTTAGCTTAGCTTAGCACAAAGACTGAAAGGTGGAAACAGCTAGTTTTACTTAAGAATGAAAGATTATTTGACACATACATGTCTACAAATAAAAGATACTGCATGATTAAAATCTGGCTTTCTGTAATGGACAGTTGGTAACTGAAGACGTGCTGTAGTTTAGTGAATTTCAGCTTTTTTTTTTTTTGTTTCAGTAAAATTGCTCTAAAATTGTCTGTATGATCAAAAACCTAGCACACACCAAAAGCTTAAGTTTCTGAGGTATTTTTCTGTTAACGTTAAAGATGAAAGTCTGGACATTTTCTATGCTTGTGTAATCCCGAAGCATTACAATGAGCTAAAAATACAAAATGTTTCTCAACCATTCCAGAATAATTGTGTTTTTGCACCAGTGGCCTTTGAGGCTCGGCTATTGTTAATTACTTGGATAATGTGCTTTCATTTACATTTACATTTTTAGCATTTTGCTGCTGATGTTTTCATCCACAGCAACTTACAACAAGTGCAAACAGCACAATAAGGAAACATTCACATTAATGTGGTGCAGTAATGAACCGTGCCCCTATAATGATAATCAGGGATCTTATTTAACCAATTTAGAACAGCAAATCCTTCGGCTATGAACATGTATATTTAAAAATGTATATTCCTTGACCCTGATCATATCTGTAAGAACAACAAAAACAGTTTATGTAAAGTGATATCAGTTATTTTACACCTTTTACAACTCTTAAGGATTATCTTGACCTTAACCTCTATCTCTGAGTTTCATTCTCTATCTGTGGTCTACCAATGGATCTAACCTTTACACAAATGGACCTGTGACCTGCATTAACAATCTTCTCACTAGGGATTATACCAGGTATCATAATTCTATTTAATGAATAACTTAACATTTAAAATCCTGGGCTAAAGTCAGCCAAGCTTTCACTCGGCGTGTCTGTGTTAGGCAGTTGGTTAACTAGGCTCTGGGGAAACGAGCGCCAGTGACAAACTGCTTTTACAACAGTTTAATAACTCTGAAGAAAACTTGGAAATTCCAAATATAGATTATCACAAAGTCAGATTATCAAATGACTGATAGTAAACATGTGACTGATAACATCTGCGGGGCCTAAAGGTGATACATACACACTCACAGGCACACACACGCCCACACTCCCACACAGAGCACGGTACATTTCCAACTGCGCTCTGACCTGAATGAAGCTGAACTCTCTCCAGCTGAGCGAGCCTCCCACAGAGGGCAGGGATGTTAGTCCTAGCAGGACATAAAAAAAAAAACCCAGGATTCCCAGCACATAGAATGAGTCTGTGGCCCATGCCTCTGTATTATCAAAGTAAAACGGGGTGGTCTTATTGTCCTTCATCTAAGAGATAGAAACATGGAGAGAATAACTACGGTGAATTTCCTACTTAATGATAGTTTCATGTCATTTTGCTCTATATATGTACCGGATTGCAGAAATTGTGCAAGAGGTTCGGCCTGTTGTACCTCATCCACCACGAGCGAGATGAGTTTGTGTCTGACAGAATAGCGAATAGGAATGATAAATGTATAGATGGCATGGAGAAAAGCAAAGCCCAGTGCAACCAGACCCATCTGCTTCCTGCACAGCATCCAGCGGTCCAGCCAGTCAGGGAAGCGCCTGAAACATGCAAAAGTGAGCTGGGCACTTTACACTCCAAAAATAATACAGCTTTTACAACAAACTGTCGCGGGTAGTGAACATTTCGCTCCTGGTTTGATGTCTGACCTGTATTTTGTTCCTCTGTAGAGCTGAAGGAAGGCAGCTATCACACCAGGCAGGTAACACAGAGACAGCATGATGAGCGACACAATGGGAAACACCTCAGTGATGAAGAGTAAGCACAGGACACAGGTTTTGAAGGGAACACAAAATAACAGGGTACATAACAGTGTACAGGGCTAAACAAGAGGGGTTGGGGCATATCTTTACCTTGTTGGCCAAGGACACCATGATTCTGAAGGAGATGTCTTTCCCCTGTTCAACATACGCGTAGATGACATCTCTAATGAGCAGATAGAAGAAGAAGAAGGCGGTGATGCCGATGGCCACTCGTAGAGGCAGCCTCCACTCTTGGAACAGCTGCAGGGGGAAGTCCTCCAGTTCTCTGGCTGCAGACAGAGACCCCCTGTCCAGAACAGTGAGACCCAGCTTGGTGGCCATCTCTGCTACTGCCTGCTTTGCTCCCGCACTGTTCCCACACAGGTACACCTGGAGCACGGAGGAGTGGGTTATGGGTTTATTTGAAATGGGCTGCAGCATAGTCATGGGTTATTAAAATGACAAGTCTGGGTATATTATATATATGTTACTGTCTATAAATACCAAGAAAAGAAACTCTCACTACTTTCTGATTTCAACACTCAGCCCAAAACCCTCTGGTTGAAGTTAAAGTAAAAATGAAAATCTTTAAAAACAGGTCAATACTTTATTTTTTTTTAAATGGCTGAATACTAACCTTAAGAAGATGGGCACTGTAGGTTATAGTAAATACCTCAACTCAAACAGGAGTAAGTTCAGCCAACTACTGAGTATTTATGGCAGCAGGACAATGTATGTAAAATAAATTACAGTACGTATGAGGGAACATGTCATCCAGTGCAACAGTGTGCCTCTGATGTGTATTTAATAGTTTTGTTCCGTTTTTTACAAACATGAAAATCTGTGGCACAGAGGAATAAGATACGAAGACAATACTAATTATTGAGATCAGCTCATCATTGGCTTTGTTGACAAGAAGAAAACCTATATTAGTAGCAACTGGTACAGTAATTACTCATTAGTAATAAAGGTCACAATAACATGTCATGTAGGTGAATATTTATTCACTTTTGGTTACCTTGGTAGCACTGTTTTCAAAAATGTCTTAAGCTCTAATTTATGTAGTCTATCACTCAGTAATTTTAAAAACCAAATGCTTTTTTCCTTTTTCTGAATTCTAATAAGCTTTTGTTTTTCTGTAGCTAATAATTACTCTAAGATGATTGTTAGATGACTCACCACTCTTGTTTGGAATATGTAGCGCATGACTGCACCGTCTACACCTACAGTGTCTGTCTACAAAATTACCCTTGTTTTGTTGATCTCCCCAGTCATTCACTTGTTTTGAGATGAAGCTCCTGGAAGTATATGTGTAAGGACACATGCATACTATATATACGTATGCTGCTCAATATGTAATTCCCATCTCTACATCTCACAATGCTGAAGCTTATTACCACACTCCCAGCTCTGTGATAAGACGATTAAGCTGTTTGTAAAGCGGGGGGGGGGGCTCACATGAAGTGAGAGAGAGATGGTGAAAGCTAGAGAGTGTGTGAGAGAAAGAGCAGTTTGACAGGCATATGCGGAGTCAGTAGGATTGAGCAGTTTTCCCCCAGGTGTGTGTATAAGTGGACTGGGCAGCCAGCCATGTCCCCCTACATTGCACCAGTAACAGCAGGGGACGGCCGACAGACTAAATCTCCATCTGAATGTAAATGTGACAGAGCCACAGCCCCGCTGTGGATCTGATCAAATTGCTGGCCGGGGAATAGCACACACTTACAAGCATGTGCGTGTGGATATATATACTGTACCTACACATGCACTGATGAAGATACACACATTCAAACACACTACTCCTGGTCTCTAACAGCTACCTGTTTTCAAAGAAAATGGAGCAATGCAGCGGTGTGTGTGTGTGTGTGTGAGAGTGTTTGTGTCTCTGTGTGTGTATGTATGTATGAGGGCTGGGGGGGGGGGTTTGTTTGTGTTGAAGAGAATTCGAGGCAGATTCAGGTTTAGTCTCCAGAGGTTCCAGCATGTTTGTGTTTCTCTTTGTAGCTGTGAAACGGAAGCTGCAATAAACATTGGTCTTTCGACTTTGTAACATCATGAAGTGTGTTTGTTTGTTTGTGTGTTTATACAAGCACTGTCCTCATTTTCTCTTGCATTGTTGTGGAGAGACGGCAAAATCAATAATCTGCTGCAATACAAATAAGATCAATTCCTTTCCTAAAATTTGCCGGGCCGTATGGTGAAGCGATCATTTCCTATTATTAACAAGTCCGAGAGACACTTTTCCCATTGTATTCCAAGAGAGGATGAAAGCAATGAATGTTGCCTGGTTTTGAAGTCAAACATGTCTCGTCATGAAAGGATCAAGTTGGTAATCGCCCCTCCTGTTACTGCTCTGTCTTTTTATCTTTGCTCTATTCAATCAAAGCCTTCCTTAAGGCGCCGGAGCTCGCTGGCTCTGTTTTCACCTCGATCCCACTGCCGTCTTTTCACGGACTCCTTACCTCCAGTCCAGTATTACCTGTTTTCCTGCCAGAAGTCCATTCTGCAGGGCCCAGGCAGACAGTGTGTTAAGGCCTTTCACCACAGCAGCTCCAGGGACCAGCCTGGAGAACACACAGAAAGGACTTTAGTTGCTATTGTTTCCGTCTACAAAAACACAGACGTGGAAGGAAGGGTCTCAAAATGGTGAGAATCAATGTTTCCACTCTGAGTGAATAGATACACAGCAGGCCGTTCTGCCGAGGGAGCTGCAACCCCACAAATTTTTTCATTTCTTTTGGATTCAGGGGAGAGTTTTGATGTCTCATGCTCTAAGTGGTGTTTAGGAGCACTTTCCCAGAAATATGTTATTCTCACAGATAAAAAAAAAAAAAAAATGGCACCCACTATTGCAAAATGATTTTTGACAATAAACCAGAATTTTTCTTGGGAGAAATTGTGGTTCCTTTTATCAGACTATTGCACACATGAAACCTTACTTTCATGGGGAAGGAATCATTTATTTGCACATTATGTTTATGAATGAGACACCCTTCATTTCTTCCCCACACTTTCACGGGAGTCTGTTACCTTTGCAGGTAGGCAGCATTGGCTTCTGGGTACATGTCTTTCTTTAGGTTGTTACTGAGGTCCACCAGCACCTTGTAATCAGCATAAGATGAAACAAAAGAAAAAAGTAGTTCAATGTATTCAGTTTAACTCTTATCTTATCGCCCATGTATTAGCGAATACTGATTTTCATTTTCTAAAACTTTAATATCTTTATAATCTGAGGTTTGATTTTCCAGTTCAAATATGCCTTATCTGCATTATATTTGTTTATTTCTCCATTTAAAAAAAAAAAAATCATATACAGTATTGTTATTCAGATGGATTTTATTCTATTTCAGTTCTTTTACCTTTCATTTTTTATTTTATTTTTTTATTGTCCTGAAATGTTTCAGTCTTGATTTTCCTGTGTAAAGCACCTTGTAACTTTCTACACAGTAAACACAGTAAAGATATTCCTTTCACTGGTTGTTGCTTGAGCTACATTCGATGACTTCTTCATTCTGCCTCCAACATAAACCGGATAGCATGTAAGTGCAAGAATTTTAAGCAAAAGCAATGTAAAGCTGGTGTTACAAGAAAACCTATCATTCATTCAATCTGTAATTCATAACTTTTGAACAGTAACAGCTCTGACACACTGGTTCTGTTTGTATTCTATATGTTACAATGCACTATACACAGTCTGGAGCAGTTACTGTGGAACATACAGTATACTGAGCATTAATGAATAACTAACAAGTTTGAAAAACTCTGAGTCATGCATTATATTATGGCTGATGATAAGTTAGTTGAGGACAGACTGTTGGGGGGATATACTGGATATAGGAAAGAAGACAAAACTACTTCACAAAATAAGGCCTTTTTCGATTTTCTCTCAGCTTTTCATGTTATTTGGGAAAGTCAGGACACTAATCTTTTCAGGCCTCACAAAAATATTCAAATTAAGCAACCTGAGAGGGAATTATTAGTCCTTTGCGGAACTACTCACAAGTGGAGAAGTAGACATATATAACATGTGACAAGGCGTCGCAAGTAAACAGCACTTCATTTTATAGGTGCATGAGGCAAAAAAGGGTTATGGGACCTCTGTCTTACTTGATACTGGTGTATCAGGTGGAAGAATGTCACCAGTCACCACTCCTTTATTATACTGTGAAAATATTACTTTCTAACTCTCTGTCACTCTGAGTTATTACTAAGAAGGCCTTATTATTACCCCAGCGTTACCTTACATGTACTTCAATTTCTTAACCACGTTCTAAAAGCGTCACAAAAACAAGAACTGATATGCACACAATAACGCAGTACTGGTTAATTACAGTATTTTTACATAAAAAATAAACACTAGTTTGTTGACATAATGTCTAGCACTCAAATAATTTATACAATGTTCCTTAATTCAGAGTCAAGAAGCACCTTCAGTCATTAGGTACTATTATGCATTTATTCATTAGATCCTGATCCTGATTTTGCCATGGTAACTACTGAGGCTTTTGTGTACTTAATGCTACAGATCTACACCTCAGTCTTTGATTCACCTTTCCTTCTAGATGAGGTGCCATTGTCTCGAGGAAGTCATAGTGTTCTCTGTGAACACAAATGAAGATCAGACTGGCCGACCGAGCTGCTGCTGCGTGGCTCATCACCTGCAAAACACACACATTCGGGACACGAGAACATGTCTGAGCCGCATGCAATTTTGTCTCCATAACAAATCCCGAGTGCTTTGTAATGCCATGTGTTGTACCTGAGCTCCCTGAGGCAAAGGGCCACAGCTGTGAGGTCTGCGGCTGCCGTACACCACCCTGTAGCCAGACTGGAGCAGGCGCAGGCCCAGAGAGCGCCCCAAGTCCCCAGTCCCAAAGATACACAGCAGCTCTGGCTCAGGGGCAGCTGCTGTGCCAAGAGGATGCAGCGACACGCTCTCTGGCTTCATCTCCTCTGACATGCCACCAGTCACCGTCATGCTCACACTGAGTTTAGACGGTCAGCGTTCCCTGCTGTGTTATTATATTGCTGTGGAATCTGACCTGTACACTGCCTCTCCCTCTCAGTCTCTGGGCGTGCACAACAACATGTGATTTTAACCCGTGTGTGTGTGTGTGTGTGTGTGTGTGTGTGTGTGTGTGTGTGTGTGTGTGTGGTCACTGGGGGTCAACAAGTTTAGAGTGTATTTTCTATTTTTCAATTTTTTTAATTGCCTATACTTTCCATAGATTGATTATTATCACAGGGCTCTGAACTGTAAATCAGTTGAACTGGGTTCCATCTCTGCTCTGTGGATGTAACATTAACCTCAGATTCACATTTTTAAACTTTTTATCACTGCTTAGAAACACAGACTGCTTTAAAGGCAATATCTAGTTCAGCCAGAATTTGACTTTCACATCTGACAGAAAAGAAAATGTTATGCTGCTGCTTTCCAGGGTTGCCTTATTCTATTTCTTCTGTTTCCACACTAGACATGGTGCCATGTGGGAGATCCTGGCCCACAGATTCATTATCATTTCAAAACCCACTGTTCCAACCAAACGACGGGGGAAGAGAATTTGTACAAATTTAGTGTTCATGTCCCCATGGCTGAAACATCTGCAAAGTTGTGACACGAACAGACTCAACAGAGCAGGGATGAAGCTTGGCACATATGTAGGCCTAAATCTTACTTTCTATGAATGCGTGGCTTTGCTCGCAAGTGTTCGTCGGTGTATACGTGTGAGCCGGTGCGTGTGAGCGCGCGCGCGTGGTGCACTGAAATGGGTCAGGACGATCAGAGCCGAGTAGAGTCTCAGCTGTTATCTGACTCACGTGGGGAGTCGGCTCTGGAGACAGGGTGACTACCTGGCTGTAGAAATGACACATAGCATCACATCAACTTTACTGACTGTTTGCACAGAAAAAAATACTCTCCTCACCGTAAACGCAGCCTCGTTGAAATCACAATGTGCATATACATAGCCGGCGATATTTATGGCAGACAGGCCAACACGTTACCTCAGGAGCTTTTACAGTCAAGTCCATAACTAAAGCATTAATGTCTACCTGGGGGGATATCGCAGGAAAATGAGAAGTCATTTTATGCCTAACCTTTAAGGCATCCATTCACTTGTGGCGCTGTTAGAATAGACCTGATAGCAGATCCACTCCGATGACTCATTTACTTGCTCTGCCTCCAGGACATCTCTCTTCTCTTCTCTTCTCTTCTCTTCTCTTCTCTTCTCTTCTCTTCTCTTCTCTTCTCTTCTCTCTTCTCTCTCTCGCTCTCTGTCCCTGGTGCTTTCCCACCTCACTTTTCCAGTCGCTCTCTAAATGAACAACTATTGAATTCACTGAGTAAATTCAGCTGAAGCTGGCTTCAATGATGTAGTCAAAGGCCATGTCCCCTGTCTGAAAGTAAGGTAAACTCAAAGAATTGCTCTATGCTCGCAAGGTTGTCCCACAGAAAGACGCTTTGCACATATATAATATGAACTGAGCACGTCGAGGGGCACCTATTCCCTCCTGGCGACTTTGCTCCTACTAATTCTTGAGATTTCAGTCGCGGTTGATTTTGACGATAGCTGTGGTCATTATAGAGGTCCCACAATGACATGAAATGAGACACATAGCGACCACTGGGGGCAGTAAACGCATGCCAAACTGCTCCAGAAGTTTAACAGAAGAAGAGCAACTTGAGCGTCTGTTTTGAGGTGCACGGAAATGGGATGAGAGGATTCACCAGGCCGCATTGTTTCAATGACAGAAGACTACAGAAGACTGTCAACAGTAAGACACCGGCTTTTGTCTCTGCGTCACGTCCTGTGTGCATCCATTGTTCTCTTTTACTGAAGGTAGATAAAACTGTCTATTGCTGTGGGGGGAGTGAGGGGGGGCAACCATAAATGTTATGAAAACTTGGCCACTTAGCAGCAGTACAGCAAGCTGGAAAACTACATTTACATATTATCAGCATTTACTTAGTTATTTTATGCGGATGTGTAAGGAAAAGGTGGCTTATGTATACACTGAGCTGGCATGCAGCAGCATCAGCTCTCATTTGAAGCTGTGTTTCTGTGCACCTGATACATGCAGGTCCAGTGCTCACTCTCCCTTTAGCTGTGTTTTGCCCTCAAACCATTCCTGAGGAAGATAACTGGTTTTTATTAGCGTGGTAAATTTGTGAGCCAAATTTGTCCTCTCTAGAGTTGAGAGGGAAACTGCAGAGTCATGTGATAATTCTCTGTTCACATCACACACAGTCGTTCGATCTGTTGTTAATAGAAAAAAAGATATTAAAACAGCATGAAGGATTAGAACTGTAACTGACACCAACACATGTTAAACCTTTGAAAACTGCTATAACCTAAAACAAACTCATTTATTTTACTGGTGGAGCTTGTTGAGGGTGATGTGCTGCCCAGGACAAGGTGTTGCCTGAAGGGCTGAATTCAGTTACAGTGTGTAGACCAAAATTTGTCAAATATAGCATGACAAACACACACACACACACACACACACACACTGAGTCCTTGAAGGTTTCCCCAGCAAGTCCATGGAGGATTTGAAACCATGTGAGTATTTTGTGCTTATCTGAAGACATCTTGCGACATTTAACAGTGATGCGCTCTGGGACATGTTTACATCAAACACATGCTGAACCGCCGGTTTGTAAATGTCAGGGTGGAGTTGCAGTTTACAGCTCGTATGAGAAATTGAGCTCAAATTTAGTCAGCGTCGTGTTGTATCAGCCTGAAATGCATTACTGGAGAACATGCATGCAGTAATGAACATGAAACATTTATTCTGCCAGCTTAACGAACAAAAATGTAGAATTCTCATTTGCAGCTCTCGCTGACAACACTGTGCTGCATACACTGCAAGCTAGAGTGAACTGTTGTGGTGCTGAGGCTCAGTTCCCAAGCGGAATTATTTGGGAGTTTCCAGCTGTTTCCAGCAGGCCGAAGGCGCATAGAATGATATGAGGCATGGTTATTAAAGACAGTTTTGAGTTACCGCATGCATATTGTACGTAGTTCCATGCTGCTTCAATGGACAAAGAGAAGCCTGCAGGATAGATGAGTTCTGAGGGATTTCTATGATGACTGCTACTGTAATGCATTAGGTATGAGGTTCAGATTGAGGTTTTGACTGAGCTCAGGTTTTGAGGTTGTTGAATACCAGACAGAAAGAAAGGTGGGAAGGCACAAAGAAAAATACTGTATATACAATGAGACACAAAGACGAGAACAGAGAGAAAATAGCAGAGAGACTGGGACACTGAAAGAGAGACGGAAGGAGAGATGCAACTTAGGAAAGCAGAAATTGTGCCTCAGTAGAACAAAGACGCTTGCTATAACCAGAGTTTCCCATAAGTATTCCTAGAATTATTCTATAAATATTCCATTACCAGCCTTCCAGACAGACACGCTTGGGATGTTCATTATGAAACACTTAGAATAGGTTTAAGGAGAATCAGAAGCCGTTTGGATGAAAATGTAACCTATTTCTGCAGATGTTTGTCTTTGACGAAATTGCTGTTTTAGGGCTGATGAGATAAATGAATAGTTCGTATGCCTGTGTGCACATGCTGAATCTCTGAATGCTCTGGTATTGGTTGTGTTTTTCTGAGTTCCCATGTGTGTCATTGTGTATGTGCAGTATGGAATTGTGTGTGTGTGTGTGTGTGTGTGTGTGTGTGTGTGATAATGTCACACTATCGCCATCTCCACAGCAGGGCTACATACCATATAGAAACATTTCCAAAGTCGGAGAGCCTCATCCTCTATCTCTGCTTTAACAGGATGAGCATTGACTGCATGTTTGAAGTTCAGAATCTTATCTGACAAGCCAAGCGGCAGAAATCAGAGGCAGGGAGGAGCTGCATGAAACTGCAGATTTCGTCACACATCGCTTCTGAATTATATGGCCTTGCTTTTTTTTTCAGAATTCAGCCTTTTCAACAACAGAGGGGACTGTGACGCTTTGAAAATATCTCCACAAAGACAATGCTTTGCGTGGAATAGTCTCATCCTCTGCTAGGAAAACAAGCTTTGATAATCTTTTTGCCTCATATAACTTCTTCCTTTCCCCTTCCACATCACGTCACTCTTTGTGTGATCTAAGATAGATGAAACTGAACAGAGCCATTTTGGTTGCAATGCAGTGAGAGTTGAGATTAAAATCTCTGATGTATCTGTGTCATTCTATATAATCATATCTTTGACAAACAGCTGTGGTCTGCAAATAGCATGCATCCACACAGCTCCTCCTTCGCGGCTGCAGGCAAATCGGCAGCCCATTATAAGGCTGAAATAGGCCCAAAGAATTTTTCGCCTCATCTGCTCAGCCATACCTCCAGTCGAGTGAAAGAGCTGACAAGGTAGGAAAAAGCTGACACAGAAGTCTAATTCTATAAGGATGAAAACCTCATACTCATCAGAGGTGCAATTTCCCTTCTCTGTATTTTCACTTCAGGAATTGTGAGGGAAGAAGAGAGCGGGCATGGCAGCATGCAATTTGCACAAATTTAATGAGCAGTATGGTGATTAATGGCGATTAGGTAAATTGTTGTTTCTATGTACATTTTCGCACCAAATCTATAGTTAACAAGGGGAAAAATTCTGCTAACAAGCATGGGTGCCATTTGTTCTCATTCCACTTCAGACTGCCTTCTGGGATATGATGCCCAACTGAGGCTATTCACATAGACCAATGATTGGTGAAATAATTATGAGCCAGCAGGCCTGTTAGATCAGCAGCAGGGTTACTCTGTCATGTCACTCTAGTTGAATATCTGCTTTTCTCTCTATATCTCTCTGTATCTGACTGCAATGACTGAATTTTTTGTTTAGATTTGATAATAAAAGGTTTGGTTTTTTTTTTTTTACAGACAATCTATGGAGCTGTAAATGTCAATAAGAGCTAGCTAAAACAAAACAAGACGTGTCGTGCTGCAGGAAAAATCAGCCAGAGGACATTGTCGACATCTCT